AAATGAAGCAGCAAGAAATAGCAGCAATCTCTGATGCTCGAGTCATCCTCACCAGGGAGTGGAAGAGGTTTCCTGATTTTGTCTCTGTATGTGTGTATTGACTAAGAAGCTGGACCAAATCATAAAATTTGAAGGTGTCTACAAGGACAAAGTTCCTTCAAGAGCATCATGTGGCACTGTTAAAACTAGAAAATGGCCAAATTCCATTACAAAGGAAGCTGGTTGTTTTCCTGCCCACTTCAATTTTGTTTGGTGGTTTCCCCAGATCTCCTAATTCTGGTAAGGTATGCTTCATTGCATGCCTGATGTTTCTTTCTCCCTTTAAATGGAAAAAAAAAATAGGAAGAGTATGAAAATCATGTCAAATTTACCTCGCATTCTATAAGAGGAAAGGGAAAACTCTTTATTTATATACCTTTTCAGTGGAATTTCTCAGGCACTAACATTTCTGGGTTTCCTCTATGGGTACTACTTAATGCACTGCCTTATTCAACATCTCCTGGAGAAGTCAGGAAACCTGTAAATTTTGATATAAAGGACTCTTCACTGCTAAATATTTTATTTCATTCACTTAGTGCCAAGTCCAAGTAAAAACTCTGAAATTGATCCTTGGTGGTAGTCAGTGCCTTCACCTGGTAGCATACTTACTAGCTGCACACAGTCTGCAGCATTTTCCAATCTGTCTTGCTGCCTCTTCTGTGCAAGAAATTGAGACTGGCTCTTCAGCCTGCTGTAAGATGCACCTCCTCAAGTGCTGGCTGATGCAGCCACATCTGTCTTATGTGCATTTTGCAGGCAGAGGGAGGAAAAGCCCTGAACATCTGATCCCTACTCTGAATACACAAGGCTTGGCTGAGTGGATTTGCTAACAGTATATATAATTACCCTCCACAGGTTGAGGTACCATGAAGGATCTTTACAGGGAGTATGTCAGAGCTCACCTTCATGTTTGTATTGCCAAAATGTTTGTATTTAAATTTAAATGTGGTCAACATTCAAAGGAATGTTTTTTATCACAGAATCACAGAATGTTAGGGATTGGAAGGGACCTCAAAGGATCATCTAGTCCAATCCCCCTGCTGGAGAAGGACCACCTAGATCAGATCACACAAGAATGCATCCAGGCGGGTTTTGAACATCTCCAGAGAAGGAGACTCCACAACCTCTCTGGGCAGCCTGTTCCAGTGTTCTGTTACCCTCAATGTGAAGAAGTTCTTTCTCATGTTTAAGCCGAACCTCCTGTGATCCAGCTTATATCCATTTCCCCTTGTCCTATCATTGGATGCCACTGAGAAGAGCCTTGCTCCATCCTCATGACAGTCACCCTTTACATATTTATAAATATTAATGAGGTTCCCCCTCTGTCTCCTCTTCTCCAAGCTAAAGAGACCCAGCTCCTTCAGCCTTTCCTCATAAGGAAGGAGGTGCTCCACTCCCTTAATCGTCTTTGTGGCCCTGCACTGGACTCTCTCAAGCAGTTTCTTCTCCTTCCTGAACTGAGGGGCCCAGAACTGGACACAATATTCCAGATGCAGCCTCACCAGGGCAGAGTAGAGGGAAAGGAGAACCTCTCTCGACGTACTAACCACACCCCTTCTAATACAGCCCAGGATGCCATTGGCCTTCTTGGCCACAAGGGCACATTGCCGGCTCATGGTCATCCTGCTGTCCACGAGGACCCCCAGGTCCCTTTCCCCTCTGCTGTTCCCCAACAGTTCTGTCCCCAACGTGTACTGGTACATGGGGTTGTTCTTACCCAAATGCAAGACTCTACACTTGCCCTTGTTGTATTTCATTAAATTTCTCCCCACCCAGCTTTCCAGCCTGTCCAGGTCTCTCTGAATGTCAGCACAGCCTTCAGGTGTGTCAGCCACTCCTCCCAGTTTAGTGTCATCAGCAAACTTGCTGACCATGCACTCTACTCCCTCATCCAAGTCATTGATGAATATGTTGAACAATACTGGTCCCAGTACCGACCCTTGAGGGATTCCACTGGATACAGGCCTGCAACTGAACTCTGTCCCATTGACCACTACTCTCTGGCTTCTATCCTTCAGCCAGTTCACAATCCACGTCACTACCCGATCATCCAGACCACACTTCCTCAGTTTAGCTGTGAGGATGCTGCGGGAGACTGTGTCAAATGCTTTACTGAAGTCAAGACAGACCATATCCACTGCTGTACCATCATCATCCCACTGGGTAATGTCCTCATAAAAGGCTATCAAGTTTGTCAAGCACGACTTCCCCTTAGTGAAGCCATGCTGACTGCCCTTAATGACCCCTTTATCTTTGATACGCCTAGAGACAGCACCAAGGATAAGTTGTTCCATTATCTTTCCAGGAATATCCTGGAAAATAATCCTCAGCTAAGATAATTCTGGAATGGAAACATACCTCAAATCTCATAACATGACATCATAAATCTGATTGTGACACTGAAGGGATACATGCTTCTAGTGGTACTCCAAGCCAGGGCATTGCATCTGGCAATAACTGTATTTGCTGTATCATAGTAAACTAAAAATAGGTGGACTCTTTGGTACAGATGTGATGCACAATCTGGATCTTTTCATGTGCATTTCTTTGGGGGTAAAAGACCATCATCCAGCCCAACACCTCTATAGGTATATTTTTTAATCTAAATAATCTTAGTGATCTGAATCACAGAAAAGTCCCCAAAACATTTATATTACTACAACTATAGGATGATGACCTGTCATGCTGAGCATAGGTAAAGAAGGTGGACTGCAAATGGAAATATCTTAATGGGTTTAATTGTCTGAGAAAAAATGTACATGGAATTGCTCTTAGTGTACGGGTTATAACCAAGTGGAGTAGATGTAGGCAATCTTCCATTTGCTTAGGAGCATATTTCTACTATGAGACAATTGCCGTTAATCTTCCCTCCAAGGGAATAATGAATCCTCTTTGCATAACTGCTGTATAAAGCCTTTGATACTTTAATTTCAAACTTGGCTATCTGGGATTCGTCATGTTTTCAGTACTGAATCTTGGCTGAATTCAGTATGTCCAGGACATAGGTCAAAAACGTCTTCTTCAGCTTTGTGGCTATAACAGTCTGTGCATTAAGTTTTCATCTTTCTAGTTTGGAGAGAGTACAAAATGACCTTGCCTTTATCTCCCATCATCTCCTGCTGTAGCAGAACTAGATGCCATCTGGAGGATGCACATATCTAGATTGACTTCTGGTCTGTGAATCACAGAACAAAAGGGAAAATGGGCTGATACAGAAATGCAGCTATCTGGATCGTGATAGAAATGTGTCTCTTCCCTAGAAGAGTGACAATCACTGTCTTGTCCTAGACTCGCTGTGTGCATACGATAAAGCTGGTGACTGTCGTCCTTATAGAATCATAAAATCCCAGAACGGTTTGGGTTGGAACCAACCTTTAGAGGTCCTTTAAAGGTCATCTAGTCCAATCCCCTGCAATGTGTAAGAACACCTTCAACTAGATCAGGTGTTGTGGGTTAGGCCGCTCCCCCCACAGTCGTTGGCTCACCCTCCCCCAGTCCCAGGGATGAGGGAGAGAATTAAAGGATAAACGGGAAACCTGTGGGTTGAGATAAGAACAATTTAATACAGATGATTTAATACACAGTGTAGATGCTCACCACCCCCTCGTAAGCAAAGCCTGTCTCGTCCCGAAGCTGCAATCCCAGACGAACACGAGGCCCCGAAATAGAGAGGGACAGAGAAAGAGATAGTACTCCGAGAGTGGGAGTACTGGGAGAGAGAGGAAAAAAAAAAAAGCAATAGAGCAAAAGCACAGCGAGCACAGAAGAGCAGAAGTAGCGAAAGAGCCAAAGCGCAAAAGCCCTTCTGTCTGGCTGACCCTCACTTTTATACTGGGCATGACGCTGCATGATATGGAATACTAATTGGCCAGTTAGGCCCTCAATCTTAAGTTCCATCACAAATCACAAGGGGAATCGTGTCCCCCTTGTCCCAACTATGCTCCCCCCTTATCCCGCCGTGCTTCTGCACTCCGGCACACTGAAAAGTCCTTGGAGTCTCACGTCCAACCACAAACATCAACTTGCTATCAGCATTCTTCTCAGAGCGAGCCTCAGAGTAAAACCAAAACACGGAGCTCTTCCAGCTGCTAAAAAGAAGAGCTAACACTGTCCCAGCTAAAACCAGGACATCAGGTTACTCAAATCCGCATCCAACCTGACCTTGAATGTTTCCAGGGATGGAGCATCTACCACCTCTCCGAGTAACCTGTTCCATTGTTTCACTGCCCTCATAGTAAAATTTTCTTCCTTGTATCTACTCTGAATTTATCCTTGATAAGTCTTCATCTCTGAGGTGGAGGTAGTCAGATTCAAGAGCTCTTCCATGAGAGAGGCTAGAAATAAAGTAAGTGGCTCCTTCCTTTCCCAATTTTCTTTACTTGTCGTTGCTATTTTATGCTCCTTGACCCTCTTCAAAGGAAAAGGCAGTGAGAACATCATCTGCCTCCAGTACAGTTTATTTTATTTTTATGACCAGGACATGTTCTGTTTTCCTGTTAGTTTTGCGTACTTTGTTCTTATCTTGCAGATTTCATTATTTGCACATGTTTTTCTGTACCCTGTTTGTGCAGCTATGCCAGAAGTCTCCACTTGTCCTTTTGAGGATGCTTATAGTTGTCATGTGTAGACTCAGGTGCCTTACAAAATGCTTGAACATTGTTGCTGCTTGTGCTATTAATAGTTTTACAATGTTACAAAATACTTAAACATTGTTGTCAGCCGTGGTATTTAGTGTAGGTAGGTCTGTATTCAACAGGAGTAAATATTTATTATATACCGCTTAGTATGCTTCTAGTTTAGGGGGTCTCTGTGTTGGCTACACCAGCTGGGGAAGGAAAAAGCTTTGTCATCTCTGTTGTGAGCTCCTTAAAGCTGCAGCAGAAGTAAGGCTATGAGAGGCTGAGGCTTCAGCCCACCAGTTAACTTCTCTACAGCTAACAATATATTCCTCTTCTTTGCAGCAGGTCTTCCTAACAGCTTCTTGATCATAGGATCTCTAGTTCTACTAGTTGCAATAGCTGTCTTGGTTATACTTTACCAGTCCTTCCGAGTTGATATCGTCCTGTTGTATCGGGAGATATTTCAGCCCTACTCAGTCAAGGATGGTGAGTACGAATTGAGCAAGAAGGTTTAAAAAGAGGAAAAAGGCAAATCATATGGAAATGAATTTATTTTACAGTTGCTTACTACCTCATATGACACTTGAACCTGATCCTTCACTTTCTGAAGCCTTCTGAAATTGCTTAGATATGGAGGGGAAAACACAACTCTGGTTGTGCTTCACATTCCCTTGTTTCCTGGGTTCTGTAGTGACGTGTTACGTAAAAGAGGGATTCAGTCCTGGTTTCATATTTTCTTGAACAGAAATATTTCCCAGGAAACATTAAATGACAGTGAAAATCCAATTTACAATGTTATTAACTGTACTTGTTATGCAGTCTCTAAAGCAAAGGAACCAGGCTGCTAGTTAATGTGCTAACAGGCATGTGTTAGAGCAATACAGTTTTTATCAGATGAAGAGAAAGGTACCAAGTGTGGAAAACACTTTTAGGGGGAATACGTTCCATCCAACTTTAGAGATGGGCTTCAGCCCAAGATTAAGACATCTAGATTTAGTCACATGCAATGAAGGTGCACACATGCAAGTTCCCATCATAGATATGAAACCTGGAGTACTACGGCTGGGTTCACCTGTCTAACCATAAGCAGCTAGTGCCATTGGATCTCCCTTAGGACTTAGGAGAGACCTTAACCCGTCTGCAATGTCAGCTGAAGGGCAGGCAGTGCCTAATGACACTATGTGGCACATGACCTTAGGTGACCAAATCCAACTCCTCATCAATAAAAACAACTCAGCTAACCAGGCACTGGGACCTTGTGTCAGTGATCTAAACATTGACATCTAGAGTCATTTGGTATGGCCAAAAAAATGAACATATAACACAGATCTGCCGGATGTTGTAGACTTCTGGAGCAGGGTCTGGAGATCAGGTAGGGCACCATAGAATGTCTCAAATGTCACTAGATGCCTATGTTTAGGCAACTCTGTTGGACCTCCAGCATTTACATGAGAGTAATCCGAATCACTCTAAAATTCACTAACTGCAGTAGTGAATTCACTAACTAATCAGTTTTCCACTGATTGCAGTAGGAGTTTCAAGACCTAGCTTTCATGTAGACATCTAAATTCACTTTTTTTTTTTAAATCTGAAGCTAACTCCTACCACAGATATCTGCATGGTAGATATTTACAGCTAATATAGTTACTTATGTTCTCTTTAAAGAAGAAAGGACTATGCTTTTTTAGGGCAATTTCCGTTTAAGCGTATTTTATGATAAAACGAATCAGGCTCTGGAAATGGCTATTTGTTTTTTATTGTAAGGATGGTCTGGACAAGAACCTCAGATAGCAACAAAAGAAAGGATATGATCACCTCCACTGGAAAGAAAAAAATTAGACATTTAGGGTTAGGAAAAAAAAAAAGCTATAATGTAACCCATATTTAAGAGACATGAAGAAAAGAATGAAAGAAATATTTAACTTTGTACTTGGTTCTGACTGTAAGACGGCTTCCTGAGCAAAGGAGCTTTTCACTCAGAAGTATGATATGTCTTGGGAATGACAAGTAATTTCTTCAAGGTAGAAGAATTTAAGTGGAGTGTCTTGTCCTGAAAGACAAAGGGTGTCAACTGAAGTAACTGAAGTAACAAATGCTGAGCTTCATCTCTATTTTGTACTAATATGCATCAATCAGTTGAATGCTTACTCTGTATGCATTGAGATACAACCTTCACAATACAAACACACAGGACATAACAATTGAGCATGGAAAACACCAAATGTTCACATTTGCTAATTTCCAAACATGCAGCAGATAATATATATTATTCAGATTAGCAGGAACTTCTACTTATTTCTATTGCAAAGGCTGATACTTTTATTGCTCTTCTGGCTTTTGCAATAGACTGCTATAATTCATGTTAACACAATACACTTTTGTTTTGTTTTGCCTTACAGATGGGAAGATCTACGATGCATATGTTATCTACCCCAGAAATCACACCAATGAAGCTAATTTTGTGGAATACTTTGTTTACCAAATCATGCCAGACATTCTAGAAAATAAATGTGGATATAAACTGTGCATTTATGGGAGAGACATATATCCTGGAGAAGGTAGGTTTCAGATGAGGTAATGGACTGAATGACTTGTCAAGCTGGAGCAAATTATGGTTCTAATCCCTTTTAGAGGTATAGAAAGTCTCTTTATGTTCCTGACCTGACTGCTCATCGCCTCAGCAGTTGTTTGTCAGGCAGGGTGACACAATGGCACTCTGTGCTTGCTGGTGTGCTAAGAAAAGCAAGCTACAGGGCAAGGGCACAGTTTGTTTATCATCTTCTTGAGTCATGCAGGAAGTGTGACCCCAAGTGTGACTCTTTCAAACATACACCTGCTCTTTGAGTAGCACAACTCTGCACAGCCATTATCTGGTGAAGCCACAACCAAACCTTGCGTTAGTAGGTCTAGAAGACATGGAAGAGGAGGAAACCACAAACTAAGTTGAGGAATTAACCTTGCTGTTATCACTCAGGGCTTTTCAACCTGTTATGAGGGTGTTAGAGTCACAGGAAGTTCAGCTTCTGTTCACTGACATGACCTGCTTTCACCTCACACAATTCCCAGCTCTGATTCAAGAGCTTTATTCTTTATTCCCACTTCCTTGTCTTTCAGAATGGAATCATGTTAATTAGTCCATACTAATTTCCATATGGACACCTCTACACTATCTTTTATGATTACTGTCATCTAGGTGCTAGCTGCTCTCCTTCAGAGCTGACTTGTCTGTTTATTTTGTGCTGTGGTTATTTTGTGGACCAGATCTTCTCTGCCTGTCAGTAAGCAGGCATGAAGCCAAAGCTGACACATTTTCCATTACACATTTCTGAAATCACCTGCATCAGGCCAGGTGTCATTCACCTGCTTAGAACTGGGCTGACATCTTTGATGTCCTTCTCTTCTGGAGAGTAGCAAAAGTGCTGCCTGGCCTTGGGAAAACCCGCTGCAGCAAGAACGTAAAAAAAGCTGCAAGAGTTGCTGAGCCAGACCATTTCCAGCAGCCAGATCCAGAACAAGGAACTAACAGTAGCTCATAAAACCATCAACGACAAAAACTTATGCACCTGTTCAGCTGATTAGGGACAGGGCAATGTTTTGTTATCGGGCGCTGCTCTCAAACTGTGACTTATGGATGGCAATTCTGAAGAAAGCTGAGCACAGCATGTAAGTGAGTTGAAAACTGTGGGACTAACATGGACTCTGATAAGTTGGCTGAAAACAAAGATATTTTCACTGTACAAAGGCATGAACTGATGCCTGTAACCCAGGAGTGAGACAGAAAACTCATCAAACCACTTTGGACAGTGAGTATCTATAGTTTGACTTGTTAGGTCTGATTTAATAAAAACTCTAAAAATATCCTGAAATTGTCCTTTTTCTCTTTGTACCTACATTCTCAGCTTCCTGATTTTCTCTTCTTTGTCCACTTTCATGCTCCAAAATGCTTACCCTTAGGTGGGAAAGCTATTCAGAATCTGCCTGCCACTGTGAGTGCTTAAAAGTTATCTGCTTTCAGGCAGACAGGCTTTACCCAAACACTCCCCACTCTTGTTTACCTCCTGATCTTGAGCCTTTTGTTACCAGATTTCCAAATCCAAAACCTTACAATTAAAATATACTAAGCACAGAGTATAACAGGAAATGCCACTTAGAGTTACTGTGATCCTTCCTGAGCACATATCACAGTGTTTGACAAATTATATTTTCCACTGTAAAATTCCATGTATTTCCAGAAAAAAAAAATGCTGAGAGGATATAGAATGGAATTATTATTTCAGGATAGGTTTATGATGCTTAGTTCCAGAATAAGACTTCATTAGTTGAAATTTATGTTCTTCCAGTAAAAAGGGAGGTTATATAGAACGACTCAAGTGATAAACTGCACTGCTTAGCTGTTGTACTCCCATTATGCTTCCCTAAACTAGCATTCTTTTTGTTTCCTGGTCTTACTGATTAAGGGCATTTTCTACAACTTAACAGTTGCCTGAAGAGGTGCAAATGCAAGTTTTACCCAGCAAACCAAGAGTTTTCACTAACACCACCTTCTACTCCATTCTTCTCATGGTGTCATTGTCCTGCCAACTGCATTCCGTGCTGCAGAATCTAACCAAACACTGCTGGAGCTGCCATATATGTAATACACATAAACATGAGCAAACAACAGAGGAATGATCATACATCAGTGGAACGATGTTCTGTACAGCCAAGTGTCCTACCTTCAGCAGTGGCTATGGGCAAAGGACTGGAAAAGACTTTAAGAACAGGGCAGGCTTATATTATACTTCCATTGATGTACTCTCCCAGCAGTGGAGAGTACTGTCCCCCCCAGTAGGTGGAATTCAGATGCTTGAATTTTTATGTGTAAGAGCTGCTGCTGGATTTTCTTTCACAATATTTTTTTGTCACTTTCTGAACACATATAAACTTCTGACATTCACAAAACAGGTTGCAAAGAATCCCTTGGTTAAAGTATTTGCAGCATGCAGCCCCATCCTTCCTCTTGGCACAAGTATGGCATCAGAAATCCCAATGGAGAAGTAAATACCTCCCGAGGCCCATTGTCTTTCAGTACTGAGTACAATGGACTACACCTCCAAACTGAGAAAGATGTTTTTTTAAAAGTGTTGTTGTAATGGGAACTAAACAGACAACAGTAACAGCACGCCTTAATTTTTCTCGCCTTCCAAGGATTTATTCTCCTAACACCAGGAAAATTTAATGAAAAAGAAGAAGAAAATGAATGGAGTTATGTCTGGTGAACATCACAGATAGAAAAATTGTTTTCATAGAATACTCTCAGAGTCAAGAAATGGGACTGAGAAGTCGTTGAAGGGGTTCTCTTCCTGACCCAGAAACTGAAAAAGCTGGGCCTGCCTGAGACTGAGAAGATTTGCAATGAGCTGGCAGCCTCTAGTAAAGGAAAAGACGATGCATACGCAGCTGGCTAATGATGTCTGCACATCAGTGAATTTATTAAATACCTTTTACATTGAATTTCCTTAGCTTAGCTCCCACCTCCTTTCCCTTGGCCTGGCATGATGCTCTCCCACCAAAACAACTCCAGCTTTCATTCAACAGACCACGGGAAACTCTTCTAACTGAGATGAGCATTTCACTGGACAGGCACTGATCCACAGTGTTCCTCCCATAGACATCACATCAGGTCATTGAGAAAAGCTGATCCTGGAGGCTTGATGTGGAGCTTTCCAAGCTGGCCCAGGAGTTTCTCCCATAGCATACTAGTTCTTGAATTTCCTAGGTTCAACACCTCCAACATCACAGTCCCAGTTGTGGTTGATCAGCTCTCCCTAACATGGCAGTGGGAAAGAAAAACACCTTTAGTCATGCTATTATACATATGCCCTGTGAGTCTGGATCCTCCCACACAGGGCAGATGACAAACCAATGCACAAGTTAGCATGTAAATTAGCATGCTATAACTCAGGAAAATTAACACTCCCTCTGCTAGTAGGTCTCCTAGAAGTAAGTAACCCCAAAGTCTCCAAATGACTAATTTTCATTGGTAAGTATTGCAAGATCAGTCTGAAAAGCACTAAACTTGATATAACATGATTCCTTACATAGAGACTGTTGTTCAAGCACAGATTTGATGCAATTCAGATCTACTGAACTTGACCCTATGTTGTTGGATTAAAAGTCTCTAACATTTCTTAAGAGCAGTGAAAATATTAATGTTTCAACCAAAGAAAACATTTGAAAGGAAAGTTCTGGGGTTTTGTGGGTTTGTTTGATTGTTTGTTTGGGCTTTTTTAAAATCTCTTTTTCTAGTGAGTAAACTGTACGAGACTGAAGTGAGACAGAAGTTATTTCTGGTTAAAAAAGCAGTGATAATGAAGTACCTGAACACAAAAGAGTTTATAAAAAAATTTCAGGGTCTCAGCATTTTCTTGTACATTCCTAGATACAGCCAGTGCAATTGAGAAGAGGATGCAGAAGAGTAGACGGCTGATCCTCATTCTGACACACCAGCTGATTAGTTGTAAAGAACTTGCTTATGATCAACACATTGCTTTATACAAAGCCCTCATTCAAAACGATACAAAGGTGATCCTGCTGGAAATGGAGACAATTGGGAATTATGCGAAGCTTCAGGAATCTCTTAGGTTTATTATTAAGCAGCAAGGTACCATCAAATGGAAAGAGCGGCACACCGTGCACCCACAGTCATTCAATTCTAAGTTCTGGAAACAGGTGAGGTACCATATGCCACTGACACTCAGGTCCTCAAACTCAGCTAATGCCAGGTGAACAGCAAGTCTAGGAAAATATGGGTACGCTATCAAGATGAATTGCGTGCCTGCAGCTCCTTTTTCTTTCAGTGGGTACACGATTTTACAGTCTGGAGTCTGGCTGTATTTTTGAACTTTTTTCAGTCCTTCAATTGAGTAATGATAAGACAAACAGATGGAGGAGGCCTGGGGACCTGAGGGAAGTTTTTATGCGTATGAGTGTTCTGTAAATAAATCATTCTAGGTTATGTATAGAATTCTTCATGTCACAGGAAACAAAATGTATCTATACTCTTTCTTGATATACATACAACTGAAAGTTTTTATTGTGAATAGCTGAATGTTCTGCAGGTTTGTTTTACCTTTCTAATGCAGTTGTTCAAATATAAATGTCTTCCATATTATTTAACTAGAAAGCATAACGTGTATTATTCAACTAGAAAGTATAATGTTCTAATTTTGTTCATTTTTTCCACCACTTATTCCTTTTGGACTCAATAGCAATACTCATACTGTGAAATTTTAGGCTTCCTTAGTAGGAATGTGTCAGTAAAGGCTCTTTTGAGACTGATGTGAAAATAGCATTTTTAAAAAATGCAGTTTTAAGGGAAATATATACACACTGATATGCATTTATATGTATTTTTAATATTATATATCTATTAAAATGAATCTCACACAAAGGGGAAATTTAAATCTTTTAAAATGTAAGTTTTGGGTTTGTTTGGTTGGTTGGTTGGTTTTTTTTCACAGTCAGAGCTTTCCTTTAAACTACTGAAAAAAGAGACTTACTGTATTTTTGTAACAGCCAGTGTCTACCTTTTTTTTTTTTTCCCCTGCTTTGCCCGTACGCCTAGTTATACATTCTTCTGATAGGGAATAGCCTGAGATGCAAAGGTCAGAGCCAAATCTCCTCCTACTTCAGGGAAGTATGAAAAAAATGTGTTCTAGTACAGATATCCTTGCAAACTTTGATCTTTTTAGCTTCTTAAAATCGGGAATTTTCTTATTGTTAGAGAAGGCTTGGTTTTTGAGCTTCAGGCCTGCTACAGAGATAGACTTAAAAAAGTGAAAATTATATGCAGAACATCTAAAGTTACGAAGTCCAGGCTTACAGAACGGGTAAGTCCTTCCCTTTTACTGTGAGTTTTTATTGAATGTGGATCTTCAGACTTATGGATAGCTATTTGGTGTAGGAAAAATGTGTGTACAGTATATGAAGAGATTTTTTTCGCAATTAAATTAAAAGATCTATGGCAAACTAAACAGCTTTTCACTGATGAGTTAGTTATATTTTCAAGTATTCATGCTCACTTCACAACTATAAAACATCTAAAATTGCATTTAATTATTGCCTCATTAAATTGTGTGCAGTGTTGTGTCCTGTTCAAAAAGATCTCTCTGGATAAACCTCACTGTCTCTGTGGAAGCTCCACAAAATGGATTCATGCCAATGTAAGAGACTTGGTTTATTCCTACAGTACCATTTCTTCCCACAAAAAGAGTACTAATACTAAGGCATGTGTAAAGGCAGGAAAGCTTGTTGCTTTATACTATGAAGATTTTTCACTGCGGCTTCCGAGCAAGACAGAACATCACCTCCAAGATTATGACAAGATCAATTTTTAATAAAGGTTGATTCCTGGGCACTTAACAAGGAAGAAAGGATGATAATTGATTACCTTGGAAACATGAAGTCTAGGACAAATTTTGAAGCTGGAAAGGGATAAGAGGAGAAGGTGCAATGAGGAAGTGCATGGGGTCAGTGATGAACCAAATTACTCTGAAATATACTGATATCTCATTGACGTCTGTTAGCCGCGCATATAGTTCTGGTGGTGAAAAACAAACTTACTGAACGGCTCTTGTGATGACACTCCTTTTGTATCAAGCGTCGTGGTCAACAAGAGAAAAATGAGGGAAACAATACCAAGCAAAACCTGACAACTCTTAATGTGGTTTACCAGCAGTGAACAGTATGGCCTTGGCAGAAAGAAAAGAAGGGGCAAATTCTGAGAGTGGCAAAGAACTTTTACAGAGCCAGGGGGTGAGTATGTGACTCATTATTGCCATTATTACAATGACAAAAAAATGCTGTTGTCACTTCTTTTTGTGTTCCTTAGTGATTAGTACAGAAATCTGAGATAAAAATTAAAATTAGTGTCTTTCTGCAGATGCTATCACATTTGTAACATTAAAGAGAAAACATGAAAAGAACTGTGGAATGCTTTAACATATTATTACAACATCAACACTGGTGAGGCCACACCTGAAGTCCTGTGTCCAAATCTGGGCTCCTCAGCATGAGAAACACATGGACATACTGGAAAGAGTCCACCAAGGAGCTGTGAAATTGGAGAAGGGACTATAGCACCTCTCCTATAAGGAAAAGCTGAGAGAGCTGGGACTTTTTAGCCTGGAGAAGAGAAGGTTCTCATCTGAACGGCAGGTGCAAAGATGAAGGAGTGAGGCTCTTCTCGAAGATGTCCAGTGTCAGGACCAGAGGTAATGGGCACAAACCGAAACACAGGAGGTGCCCTCTAAACATCAGGAAATGCTTTTTTTATGGTGAGTGTGACCCAGCACTGGCACAGGTTGTGGCGTCTGCATCCTTGGAGATATTCAAAAGCTGTCTGGACACGGTTCTAGGCAACTGGCTCCAGGTGGCCCTGCTTGAGCAAGGTGGTTGGACCAGATATCCTCCACAGGTGTCTTCCAACCTCAACCTTTCTGTGATATGTGACATATAAAGTATTTAAATTTTCAAAAACATGTTTTTAAAGAGAACTGGCAATTTTTACACTAGACCATCTGCCTTAGTGGAATAACAGAAGGACAGTCGGCCCTGTGCAAAAAATACCTCCTTTCACCATGTAAAGCTTATAGAAGAATCAGTTTGGATGCTTAAAGCTTAAAAATATACAGATCAAAGATAATATTGTTGCTGAATTAGAACTTCCACGTGAAGACTTAATACCCTTTAATTTCTGCTCTGTTCTTCCCTTGTTACTGTACCCCAAGTGACTCCAGAGAGCAGATTTGCTCTCCCTTGTCAATGAAGCAGAGTTGTCTTGCCATCTAGTGGATGAACAGGTATGGAGAGATTCTGACCACCCAGAAATAAAACAGTTTAGGAATAGCGTTAGAATTAAACACAGTGGGATTTTCAGGGTATGTATACTGCTGTAATCTCCTGAAAGCCGTACAGCACTACTTGTAAACAGCAGCTCAGAATCTGGTGTTGAGAATACAGAGCTGACTCTCTTATAACAACATATTTTGAAGGAAAAGAAGTGTCTTCTTGCTATATAACTGTGTTCTATGGCCCTGTTTCTTTCTACAAGAATCTAATGGAAAGATAAAGACAATGGGTGGAGTCAGACTCTTCTCAAAGGAGCACAGTGATGAGACAAAAAAGCAATTGGCACAAATCAGAACATGGGGAATATCAATTATCTATTAGGAAAAAGATTTTCACCATAAGTATGGCCAAATGCTGGAATATGTGCCCAGAGAGGCTGTGGAATCTCCATCCTTGAAGGTCTCTGCTGTACGTGCTCTGAAAAAGGGCTGGACCTGACGACCTCTAGAGGTCCCTTCCAACCTGAATTATCCTGTGATGCTACGATGTGTAGGAAAGTTTGAAAATGTCCAACTTGCGTATTTTAATACTTCTGAGAAACATGTAAGGTTCTTACAGATATGTTATCAGTCTGGAACCTGCTTTTTGACTCAGGGACAGATAATGCTGAAAAACCATGGCATACAAATTAACCTCTGCTAAGAATTAATTTAACTGGTATACTGATTAAAAAGGACTATGACTAGCTAGAAGCAAACAGGCTTAGACTGTGGTTACAAGAGTTGAATGTGTTGCTATTTATAATGGAAATAGTTTCACAGTTTAGATTTTCAGTTAGCACCTCTGTGTAGTGTATGTTGGATGGAAAGGAAGACGTGAAAACCTGTGAGAAGTAACTGGTCTTCCCTAGCTGATTGATCATGTAGTCAGAACTTCATACAAAAATCTGTTTTTCAATATTAGTGCAAACTTTCGTTTTCATCATGGCATTTTCGTAATGAAAATTTGAGCTGTAGTTATTTTCATTTGAGTTACTTCTCTACTACAAGTCTATGACTTTTCCATTAAAATTGTCATAGTCTGAGGACTAACAAGTGTAGACTTTATTCTCCTTTCATGTTCTCCTTTCGCATATCACTACGACATTAGCTGAAAGGACCACTTGAACACAGCACTTTCTACAATGCAGATGAAAGAAAGTTCAGAAACTTGAGAGTAATTCAAAAGGATGTGAAAGCAAATCAAAGTGAGAACAGCTCACGGAAAATATTGTTATAAAAGAGTGAATAAAAAAAAAATAGATGCTTCCAAACTGTCACTATCAAGACTTAGCCTGTTAAAATAAAAAGTTGATGACATTTTACTTTACCATTTTATTTATTGGCTGCTAAATTGCTTTCAAACTCTTATATAAAACCATTATCATCTTTACGATATATGCTTTCTTTGAAGTTTTAAAATTAGGCACTGAGCCATAAAACCAAAAAACACCACAAAGTACCTTGCACGCAATTTAAAAGTAGTTATAGTGGGTCAGATTCTTAGCTGACTTCCCTGGAGCTGTGCTGTTTTATATTAGCCAAAGGTCTGATTTCTTTTATGTATATATATTGTGATGAGGAAAACAAATGAGGTGAGACAGTACAACTCTTCAGGGTTTCTTTGCTTCATCTCATCTATAAAAATATCCAAAAATGATGGCTCTGTGGAATCCCTCTTTTTTTTTTTTTACTGTGACTTGCTTGTTTTACCTCTAAAGTGACACCTCCTGTTGCTGTTGGGAATTTCTGCATTCACAGCTGTCCTGGGTAAAACAAACAAACGGGTAGCTGTCACCAGACAAGTTTCTGAATACGAAAAGGGTGATATGAAAATGAAAGAAATCCTGAGGAGATGGATTTTTTCCTGCTGTTATAAAAATAACTTTATTTAGAAGTATAGTGAATCATTGCACAGTATATATTGAATAAACTCTTCATGTGAATAAACAGAGACAAGCATTCATTTCCTCAGGAACAGTACTTAAATAGGAAATATGTCTGTCAGAAATCTCTGACGGAACTACAGTTCAAATACATCAACATTTGGCTAAAAGGTAGGCTCAGCTACTAGCACAAGGGCTTATTTAGAAGTGAATATATACACTCCCTTTGCGGTAATGGAGGTATAAAATGTTTCATGCCTTGAAAGTTTCATTACTCTCCCTCCAAAGGGGATGCTAGCACAGAAAAAATAGTACTGAATTGGGGACATTTTTGATCACAGTATAGTAGGATCACGTGTTTTGCCTTTTCTCTTTTCCTACAGATCATATTTTGAGACACTTTGGGGAGGATTTTTTTGCCTTTTTTTTTTTTTTTTTTTCTCGGTGGAGACCTTGCAGAATATCAGCCTTTCAGGACGCAGTTTATCAATTTGCACATCCTCATTCTGAAAACGGCCAGCGAGGAAGCTGTAGAAGAGTTGCTACATTTAGCTTAATATACGCGTCCCTAAACCTCCCTTCTACTTCCATCACACTTCTTGGAAAAGAGTCCTGCAGCGCGCATTCAGCAGAAAAGCGGAGGAAGAGGCGTTTCTACTAAAAAAACCCAAAGGCATCCCCTCTTGACGACTTTTTTTTTTTTTTTTACGCCGGAAGACAGTAAGAGAGAAGACCCTCGTCTTCTGAAAAAAAGTTGGTCGTCACCCGTAAAGGGTGTAAAGACTACCTAAAGGCATCTCCGGCTTTCACCCGCGACCTGGTGACAGCCCAGCACCTTCTCCTAAGCCTGGTAGTATTTCGACTTGTCTTCTCCGCGCTGCTGCCCGGCCCCAGGCCCCGCTCCGGCGCCGGGCAGCGCTTCTTTCCAGCTAAATTGAGAAGCCGTCCCTCGGTACCCGCC